TGAGATCATTTGGTATTTGTCTTTCTCTGACTGACTTATTTCACTTAGCATAATGTTCTCTAGTTCCATCCATATTGTTGCAAATGGTATGATTTCCTTCTTTATAGCTGAGTAATATTCCATTGTGTAAATGTACCATAGTTTCTTAATCCATCAAGAGTCTTAATGTTTTGCTGCAAGGGTTAACATGAGTTTGAAAATGAAAAAAAAATTGTCTAGTGAAACTGTTCTATGTGTGTGTATCACAAAGTAAAGGAAGATTCTCAACCAAATTAAAGCTTATTGAACCTTAAAAGAGTGTGTTCTTGTAAATGAATATTTTTTCCTTCATTGAGGGATTTTTATTATCCCTGTACAGCTAACTATATTTGTCATGTTTTTTTCCCCCCAAATCCAACAACTTCGCATGAATTTTTCTTCAGTGACATATTATGGTCACATATTTCCTGTTAATTTGCAAATCATATTTGTTCTTCTAGATAATGATCCTAAGGGAACATATACCAAATAATAACGTTTGTGCTTGTTATTTTTTTATTTTTTTTGCTATTAGGGTAAATAAATAGCATTGCTATATGATGTATATCTATGCTATAAACTGCCAATTTATTTTGTGGAATTGTTAAAACTATTTTTTTCTTTCTGCTCATTATTTGACTAGGTATGGCTATATGGTAAATTTTTACCAGATTATGATATCTAGAGTGGAAAATAATAGTTAAGGACCCACAAAAATGATTATTGTTATTAGTCACAGCATGACTTACTATTTTAAGACAGAATGTTAATATTTATTAATCACTTTTGAAACTCTTATGCAGAAATTTGCTAATGCTCACAATAAATGTTCTTTTGAACAGGAGGACATGAACCTTAATGAAGAACGGAAAGCTCCTTTACGAAACAAGGATTTTATCACGAAGCGTGAGATGGTTGTCCAGTATATTTCTGCTACAGCCAAATCCGTAAGTATTGAGTCTTTCCTGGCACCAATATAATGACCTTAGCATTATCTGCTTAACAATAAACTAACCTCAGATCTTCAAGTTCTTGCCTCAGTATACTCATATAGACGATTCAGAAAAAAGTTATACATATATTTTTACACATTTAGTATATATTTCCAAACTTCGTAATCAGAGAGACTTCTATTTTTTTTTAAAGATTTCTTTATTGGGGAATTGGGGGATGGGAACAGTNACTCACAGCAGCCCAGCTCCAGGTTGAGCTGTTGTTCATCATCTTAGCTGTAGAGGGCAGTGTCACTGGCCCTCATATGTGGGATCCGAAACGGGGCCCTCTGGCGTCTCAAGCCAGCTCTTAATTATCGTGCCACTCGGCTGGCCCGCAAATGTAGTTTTTATGGATTCTTCCTTGTTTAGGTGGGACTGACACTTGAAGGGTGTATTAAAATTTGGAAGCCAGGTTTAAATGTCCACTCTGATCTCCTAGCTAGTCTTGGTTTCACTCAGAATTTTCTCATCCTTCAAGACCCAAATCCTCATGAAGATTTCTCTTGTTTTGTTTTGGTTGGTTTGTTTTTCCTGCCTTCAAAATATTTATCACATCCTGTATTTCTCAAAGGCTTTTGAAACGTGTAGAAAATAAGTAAGAAATATCCCAATGAATGAAACATACCAAATGTCAGTAACAAGCAAGACATTCCTTTTGGGAAATGGCTGTTAAAAAAACAAACCCCAGTCTATATATGCAAAGTAAAGCAAGGAAATTCAGTCTTTTTTTCTTCTTTAAAATCCCATTTTTCCTAAAATATCATTCCACACAATTGGAAGTGAAGGACTGAAAGGTGAAGAGAGGGAAGGGAGGGAGAGGGAGGCAACACACACCATTAACAGAAAGTAAAATTGTACAAAGTTAAGCAGTTTATAAGAGACCAGGGTCATGCTGCAAGATACCAAAGGGTGCTTGAAGAAATTCACCATTCTGCAAGTGCGGGGATTTGAATTGCTGCATGGAGATCAGTGAAGAGCAATTCACTGCCTTGGAGCAATTCCCCTTCCCACTCCAAATCCTGGTTTCTGCGCCATGCCTCCACCCAGCCCACCTCAAGGACCTCCAGGTCCCCACAGGCAGTTATTTCATTGGTCCCCTCCTCAGCCAGTTCAAGTCTTCTCTTCCACATTCAGTTGGATCTCACCTCTGAACATGAGGGGCCTGTTGCTAAGGACCTTCTGAACAGACTCAGAATCATCAAACTCAAAACCAAAATTGGGTAATTTCCCACTGCTGTTATTGCACAGCTCAACCACAGTCCCATATCCCCCCCTACCCCCCTGCCCCTGAGCCGTTGTTCTCAGTCTAGTTGTGGAGGACGCTGCTCACTGGCCCATGTTGGTATTGTGATCATTGCGCTCTTCCTGGCTGAGGCAGATTGGTCACTGGCCATTGGACGGCCGCTCACAGCAGCTCACGTAAAGCTCATGCCCACTGCCGGCCAGCCCCACTGCAGCCTACGCCATTGCCGGAGACTCATGACAGCCCAGCTCCAGGTCGAGCTGTTGTTCACCATCTTAGCTGTAGAGTGTGCAGTTGACTGGCCCATGTAGGAATCGAACCAGCAATCCTGTTGTCCAGAGCTCACGCTCTTACCAACTGAGCTGTCTGGCTACCCCCACATTCCTATATTTTTAAAAGAAATCTTTAAGCTCTGACTTGTCCACCTCATGAGTAGATTGCGAATAAAGAGTTGGTAACTGTCAGGGTGTCACATTTCTTCGGGATTCAACATCACCAGCATCACGGATTGGTCTAGGTCCCCTCAGAGAAGGAATATTTATTTATTCATTGTTTTTGCACTCTTTGATCCCTCTGAAGCCTCTGCAGTGGAATCTGAGATTCAGGCTTAGATTCTGGGCGAGGCTGTGAAGCTGGTACTTGAACAACATGAGGTGTTATCCCAGTAACTGGAACAGCTTCACTGGGTGGAAGGCTCTTTCTGGTCACAGATGCCCAGGAAAATGTCCTCAACTCTTCCTGCACTGTCTGATCTATGTGTTTAGGTGCTGGAGAAGGACTCTTCAGAGCAACCTCAGGAGAAGTTTCTTCCAATATTGGCTCACTTTTCCTCCTGGATTTCAGATACAGATTCTTGCTCTAGTTCTCGATCAGGATCATGCTCTGGTTTAGCAACAGCTTCCGCTAAATGCTTTTCGAAGTCATTGCTGACAGTCTGATCATAGAAAGTTCCAGAATCATCATGTACCACCTCCGGTGTCTGCTGTCTGTCTTCGGGTTCCTCTACTGCTTCCTCATATTCTTCCTGAGGCTCAGTGGCAAAGCTACCAATGACCTCACCTTGGTATCTGAACATATCATTGTGAAAGTAGAACTTATTTACCACAGAGCCCTCAGGAGTAAAGACGAATGTCTGTATGAATCCCCTTAAAGCCTAGTTGTTATTAGAGAGCAACTCCATCACCTGGACACCACACCATCAGGTGGTATCTCCTTGTGGTTTTCATTTGCGGTTCCCTAATGAATAATGATGTTGAATATAATGGGCTTATTGGCCATTTGTATATCTTCTTTAGTGAAGTTTCTTTTCAGATCCTTTGCCCATTTATAATTGGTTTATTTGTCTTTTTATTATATATTATGGATACAACTTTGTTATCAGAAATATGATTTGTAAATGTTTGTACCCATTCGTTGTCTTTTGATGTTGCTTTCTGAACCATAGTCATTTCCAACTTGGTGACCCTCAAGAGAGTCTTAATATTTTTTTATGATTTATATTTAAGATGATTTATTATAAATTTTTAAAATTAATTTCAGGTGTACAATACAATGCAATAGCTACCTTTTTCACCCCTCACAAAGTAACAACTCCCCTCCCCCATCCACTGCCCTCCCACCCCTGATATTATACTTATCTATTATAATTCCATTGACTCCATTCCCACACTCTAATCTACTCCACATTCTGTGACTATATGTATATATAATTATAGCTGACATACAATATTATTCAACATCAGCTTCAGAAATACAGTGCAGTGGTCAGGCCTCTACACTGACTATGAAGTGGTCTCCCTAACAAGACATGAGCCCATCTGATCCCCTAAAAAGATATTTACAACATTATTGATTATATTCCCCAGACTGTCTTTTCTATCCCTGAGGCCATATTGTAGTTACCAATTNTTTTTTATTTTTTATTTTTATTTATTTATTTTTTTAGCTGAGCCATCCTGCTACCTATTGGCAGCTTAGCGGCTGCTCAGCTCTGGCTGGCCTCGAGCCGCTGTTGCTCAGAGCTCAAACTCTTGAGCGAGCTCTTAACCAACTGAGCCACTCGGCCAGCCCGACTTCAAACATTTTTAAAAACTACAAAAGACTGGGGCAGCCAGTTAGCTCAGGTGATTAGAGTGCAGGCTCATAACGCCAAGGTTGCTGGTTTGATTCCCACTATGAGCCAGGGAGGTGCGCCCTCCACAACTAGATTGAAGACAACTACTTGACTTGGGGCTGATGGGTCCTGGAAAAACACACTGTTCCCCAATAAAAATAAAAAATAAAAACCCAAAAGAAACAAACAAAAAAACCCCTACAAAATACTATTTTCTTGTTGTATTGTAGGCATGCTAACTAAAGGTTAGCTAATTAAAAGCTTGCTTTTGTGTTTTGAGTACTATAAAAACTTTGTGTTTAGTAGTTTCACATTCAATTAGATTGTTTAGAAAATATTGAATTATGAGTATTCTATTTAGTTTCATGATTGTATTATAAAGCTGGAGTTAATGATTTGGAAGTATTAGCTGCCTAATTATCAGTATACTTTTTATTTCTATAAGAATAAAATGACTCATTATGGTCTTTTCTGTTGATGTGAATGGTACATATTCCCAGTCAACCTATGCACCAAATTTATAGGTATAAAAAATGTTGGTGGCTACAAAGCAAATTAAAATGTTTAGAGAAAAGGTCCTAAATATCACATTGGTTCAACAAATATTTAATCGATGCTTAGTGCATTCCAGGAACTATGCTCTTTGCTGGGAGTACAAACATAAAAAAGACTCAGTTTCTATTCTCAGTTAGCTTATAGTTTAGGGGAGATGGACTTAACAGAAAACATCAATGTACAGTAAGTGTAGCAGTATAGGAATTAATATAGTAGCATTACTGGAAATATCAGTGAGCCGGATATGGATTTGGGTGGGGTGGGGTGGGATAAGATGGATGGGGGTTGATAGAGGGAGAGGGTGGTGAGGATAACAGCATTCTAGGCAGAGAGAACAGCATCGTGTGCACAGTTAATGGAAGTGTGTAACAGCATAGTGTATGTAGAAAACTATAAACAGCCTTGCATAATGAAACATAAGGGATAAGATCAAAGGTGGTAAAAAAAAAGTGTGACTGAGGAGGTGATAACACTAATAGCTAGCATTTTTTTTATATCACGACACCTTTTATGTTGTATTTATTTATTTCTAATTGGGGAACAGTGTGTTTTTCCAGGACCAATCAGCTTTAAGTCAAGCAGTTGTTTCAATCGAGTTGTGGAGAGTACAGCTCCGTGGCCCATGTGGGAATCGAATTGGCAACCTTGGTGTTATGAGCACTTGTGCTCCAACCACCTGAGCTAACTGGCCGCCCAATAGCTAGCATATTTGAAGGCCAGTTAAATACACCAGGCTTGATGTGCATGATCATGGTTAATCTTAACAGCATCCCCTGAGGCCTATAATCTCATATTCCCCTTATTGTCCTGCCTACCTCCATACAAAATGATTCTACTCTGATGGCATGATCTTAGGAGTGTATGTCATTAAAAATTGAATGGAGGTACACTGTAATATAGAAATGTCACTGAAAGGAGAGGAAACTCTCTACCTAGAGATGGCCAAAGGGTGGCTCTACCACACTCTTAGGCCAGGCTGTGAAATTTACAAATACAGACCATCTTGTCAGCATTGATTCTACTTGGGCGATGCAGATTTAT